CAACAGGCCATCAACCAGCGAGTCCGTCCCCAATTTTTTTTCATGCCTCGACCCCCATTTTGGTTGACATCCTTTCATGGTCGTGTCTTTTATAGAAATCCACATGGTTCATCCATTTTTCCCATGGGTCAATGGTTCACACAGGTGACCCTGGTCCCATCCTCGATATCTCAGGTCAAGGGTTGCTGAAAGGCTGCAGGATGGGATTGAAGACCTGGGCATGGCTTGACAGTCGATGGTGTTTTTTGAAAAATGCTGGGAAGATCAATAGCTGGGAATTTCATTGGTGATTTTCCATTAAACATCATTACCCTCTGGTAATTTAACGTAGCTATTGAAAATGACCATAGAAATAGTGGATTTTCCCATTAAAAATGGTGATTTTAAATAGCTATGTTAGTCATTACCAGAGGGTAAACGATGTTTGATTAGCAGAGGATTCCATTCTTGGAAAACTCTTCACTCACCTTGACATCTGTGACTTGACCGGAGAGCTCAGTCGCCAGCCTTTTCTCTGTCGTCCCTTTCTACTGCTTGGCGAAGAACGGATTTACCATAACTAAATGGATTGTGATCATCCCCAATTCGATAGTTTGTGATTATATCGTAGTAACACAACATGTAATCATCAATCAACCATCATTTATCAAATATATCCACTCATATATCTCCTATGTTGATGGTGTTGATGGTTGAAAAATCCATTAAATGCCTCCAATAATCAATCAACAGGGCTTGAACGCAGCCACAACTTCTCGCCATGTCATCGCTTAGTGGGGTTCCCAGTTTGGGTTAGTTCCAAGTTCCAGGCCCCCAAAAAAATATCAAATACATCCCCCTCCACATGCATTCCTGAAGCGAAAAAACAACATCAGTCCTGGCTTTCCCAATGCTTATCATTGCTCATTGTCCCAATCCCATTTATATATATATTATATATATATTATATATTATATATATATATTATATATATATTATATATATATATATTATATATATAGCTACACAATGCTACACAACGAAGATTGTGAACACAGGTCCCAATATGACCCCAACACAACCTGTCAGCCCATCCCCACCTGGCGTAGCTTCGGTGAAGCCAGGCAGTAGACGAGGTTGCCGCTGGAAAGCAAGAGGAAGATCCAAGCCAGGAGGCCGTCGACATCTGACGGAAAGGAAAGGATGGTATGTTATGGTCTTTTTTTTTGGATGATTGGGTAATCCTTTGTAACATAACATTTTATTAAAATGTTATTGGATGATTGGGTAATCACCAATATCTACTTTGTAACATTTTATAACCATTCAATTATCACCCAGTCTTTTTTATGGTCTTTGTAATTTGTTTCTACATAGTTTTACCCGAAACTGATTGGGTGATTATTGAATGTAAACTGTCCAAAAAAAAACAAGTCTGCCATTGGCCGGCAAAAAAGCCCACTGAAGAATAGCTCCGATTTGGTGTTATCTCATATTGTCGGCCAGCAACAAACATGAGCGCAAAATATATAGATATCAGATATCACTATAATTCTATGAAATCGAATCTTGAAGGCATCTGTGATGGCTACGGTTTGTTCCACCAGGCAGTAAGAATAAATAAGCCCAAGAAACCTTGGGCAAGCCCTCAATCTCTGAGCAGCCTCTGATATGAAATCTAACATGCTTTTGAAGTGATTTTGGGTTGGTTCCTCTGTTGTTCATGACATAGCCAAGAAACTCAAAGACAAGATCCAGTCCATCCCTTGCTTCCTCAGAGGGACGGGGGTGGCCTTTTCGGCCAGCCTGTTCGTGACTGATCCAGTGGTGCGGAGACCCCAACCGTAGCTGACAACAAGGGATGGAAACATCCATGGCTTTGAACGTTGGGTGGACTGGGACTCACCAGTAAATCCTTGGGAGGGTTCCACGCCCATGCAATGGACCACGTTATTCTGTAAATATCTTTAAATTAATGTGCTCACAAATATTCTCTGTTTATGTTGGAAAAAAAAAACAGAACAAAAGGTCCCCGACTGCCCCAGCAACCCCTGCACCAAATCCATTTTTGGAACACATCCATCAACTCAACTTCAAGTATCGCACTGGGCATCAGTGGGTGATGCAACATATAAGGGAACAGAGTCTGTCGCCCTGTTGTGGTAATAAAGCCCTTCTGTCGTGGACAAATCAGCAGCAAGAAGATGACCACTTGACCCAGCATCATGAAATCACCTAGGCCCCATTGGGGGAAGGCGAAACCCCGATGACACCATTGCACACGTTGAATATCCGCAAAAATATGAAGGTCAAAACCCGTACTAGTACCAGGTGCTTTCCCAGAAGAATAGTTGGTATAGCGCTGGGTAGTCAGCAGGATGTTTGGGTGAAAATAGGGAAGACCCAAACCATCCCAAAACCCAGTGATTTATCATCACCTTCCTTATTCAAATAGCAATGTATAGCGGGCATAGCCCATTCACAGTTTCTTCTGAGGTGACCTTACAAAAAGTCATCTTGCCCACCATTCGAAAGCACTGGGCTTAGATGAGAAAGTCCCACTGGACATGGAAATGTGGGACCTTCATGGATTGGACGTCAGAATATATCTCTCATACCCAAAAAAGCGACCGGGGACTGGGATTTTCTACGGAACATCAATGGATCAAGACATCTATCCACTGCAGTTTACGCAAGTGTCGTATGTATATGTGCATACCTGTAGCCGTATACAATTTCTTACTTGATATGTGAATTAAAGGTGCTGATCCTCATTTTTGGAGGTAAATCCTACATCCTACCAGTTCTTTGGACAGTTCGTTGTGGCTGAGACATGGAGTAGCAATGGACCCCCACAACCGCAATTTATTCTTTGTTTAATCATTAAGCCCATATGAACCAGCCAACACAAGAATTTTGCATTGAGCCATAGCCCTAGAGCGCCTGCCAGTCCATTGAGCTGCGAAAAAACTTGGGCAGACCACCTGATGTCCTGCAGACGGGTGGGATTTCACTAGCAACTGGAGAGCAACCAAATCATTGAGATGCACATCCAAGTCACATTTGGGAGCTATGAAAAACGCTGGAAGGATTGAAAAATGCAAAGTTCCTTCCACTTCCTCTAGATGGAAAAACTTTTTCGAAGGGTTCACCTGTCTTTGACCAGCAAAACATGGCATTTTTCAAGCCTTCAGGAAACTGGCCCCGCGCTCAGCACCCAGGGCCCAATCCTGGTGATAGATTTCAGGCAATTTCCAAGGACATTTGGTGCCCATTGGGCAGGTGTAGATGCCACCAAAGACGCAACGGGCCAGGTGGAAGTACAAGAAAAGCGTCAAGCCCCAAACCACCTCAATGCCCCCAACATTCCACGACACAGTTTTGGAATCTTCCGCCCCGAAAGTGCTTAGGAGGGGCACAACAACATTGTGAACTTACCACGCAACTCAATCCGGGGCCAAGACATCCAAGACCAACACGAACTGAAATCCAGCGAAAGTTCACCACTCCACATGATTCGCAACAGTCCATGTGATCAATAAAGACAACTCGAGAAACAGCGAAAGTGTGTCGTACAAATTTGGAACTTGAACCCCCTCCCATCTAGGCAAGTCTTCTCAGGCTTTATAGGCAGCGCCTGGAAAACTCGATTGCCAAAGATTGGACTCAAAGGCATGGAATTGTCAAGTTCTTCTCGAAGATACCTGGTTTTCAGGCGCGGGTAATCTGTGTGGGATTCCCACCCAGGACACCACTGAATTCTTCAGAACCCTTGAGCGAACTCGCCAAAATCAGCTGCCTTTTGTGGGGCAGTAAGAACTACTAATGCGCAGTGTACACATATCGTGCTAGGTGCATGCAAAGTGTGTATACATACATATATGCATAAAGAACATGTATGGAAAAACAGTGGGAGAGCGAGAAAAAAGTACGCATGCATGATGGATAAAAGGTTATGTTATATGTAATAGTGTACGATTATGTGTATGTGTGTGTGTATGTGTGTATACACACTATTATACACATATGGTTTATGTAAATACATACATTACATTACATTAAATCACATGAGATTACATTGCCATACATTACACTACATTACATTACATTGCATTATATTACATTACATTACATGACCATACATTACATTGCATTACATTACATTACATTACCATACATTACATTGCATTACCCTACATTACCATATATTACCAGACATTACCAGACATTACATGACATTACATCACATCACATCACATCACATTACATTACATGCATTACATATATATATATATGCGTATATAATATATATTTTAAAAAAAAAGTAATATGCACAGACATATTATGTATAGTGTATGGTTTTATGATGCTTTATGTGTATATAATATATGTAAACACATGTGAATATACTGATATGTTGTGTTGAAGCCATGAGCACATTTCGAAATATTTATCAACACATCAATATCAACAATATCAACACAGTACTTATATGTTGATACGGATATTCAACGCATGACTGCACATACAGTTGAATGTGTACGTATGTCTGTATGTCTGTATGCCTGTATGTCTATCTGTAGGTAGGTAGGTAGGTAGGTAGGTAAGTAGGTAGGTACGCATGCATGCATGCATGCATGCATATTTGTATATGCACACACATAGATACTTAAATGTATCCATAATTCTATGAACGTACAACATGAGTAAATTCTCAATCTTGGTCAACCGCGTTTTTTTTTTGCTTTTTACAGCCCCATGGCGCCATGGCATCACCCAGCTACTCATCGATCTGCATCCACTTTCTGCGACAAATCGCGCCAGCAACAAAGAGCGGCAGGCACCTGTCGAGATTGCCCTGAGGGTTTTAGGAAGTGCTGGGGATATCTGGGGATGTGCATCCCCAGTGTAATATGGAATATCCCCAGTTAATCCCAGTTACATTAATTGGTTCCATATTAGGAATATCCCCAATGACCAATATGTAGGGGATATTCCATATGGAACCAATAGACAGATGGGGATCCTGGAGGCCGAAAAAACCATAGGATTACTATGTGAAATAACCAGAGGCTAAGCCCAAAAAATCGTGAACAAAATGGCATGTGACCCCTGGATTTTTTTTGGCGGATTCTTCGCGCCCCACGCGAAGGATTCAGAGAGACTCAGGAAACTCGATGGGTGCAGTTTTGCCTCAGGATCAGCCAAAAGCAGCTGTTAGAAACGAGAAACTGTCTTGGAAATGGTGATTGCTAGTGTAGTACATCCGATAATAATCAGATTGAACAGTAGTCAACATCAGCATCAGCATCACCACCACCACCACCACTACCACCAGCATCAGCATCATCATCATCATCATCATCATCATCATCATCATAATCCCAACTGCTGAGCCTTGTTCTTTTCCTTCAACTGCTGAGTCTATCCATGGAATCAGCATGTTTTAGCTGCCAACTCCATTCCTCATCCCTGCGTCGTGTTCATTCTTGAAGGCGACTTGATTCATCATCCCAATCATATCAATCATGGAAAAATCATCATCTGATGAATACATTTAAATGATGCTGAAGCACATGCATGATATAATATTGCCGCTTATCAACATGAATATCAAAATACATGATGCATCATTAAATGGTTCATTCATCATATATTCAATATCAAAACCACAACTGTATGAGAAGATTAAAAGCATCTCCCAAATGACCTGGATGGAATACTGGTTTGCACATAAAATAAATCTATCGAAGATGAAACTTGTCTGATTTCATCGAAAAAAAAAAACCATCCCCAATTTAACGACAGCAGGGTGGCGACTTGCGACAGCATGAGCGCCAGAGCCATACGCCCAGCGATATGCAAGTGAGCGGTCACGAAATCGATGGAGCGCCACCAAAGCAAGCCGTAGAGGTACCTGACGCGTCATGATTTGGGCAATCGCCTGAATTCATGAGATGTTAATTGGATACAGATCACCCATTCATGGTGATCTAAGAATGGACAAATTGGATTTAGATAGCCAATTGATACTGTATATAATGGAACTCGGGGGGTGTCTGAAACTTCTCAAAATTGCAGAAAATTACACAACATTGAAATGTCATGGGGAATATGACGATTGACCAGTGGATTGGGGTATTGTATCTACATGTATATGCACTATGAATAAATCAATAGGGGAAGAATCTGGAAGAATAATGATCGGCTTGGTGCCATGTACCATGATCCGACTCCATCGGTTGTTCAATGCGACCTCCTCCATGAACCAATAAGACACTCGGCAAAGGATATCTATGACTCCTATGATTCTTGTGATTAGCAAACTGTAAGAATTCACAAACCTGATTCAGGCCAGATAATCCTGCGTTCCATTCATGGTGGCCTTGCCAAGATCTGCAAGTCACCCCATCTCTGCTTTCGGTGGACTTCTTAGGTGCTTCATCTTGGGGGATCATGGGTCATTAAATGTCCCATTAAATGTCCCCATTTTTCACATCACCCAACCATGAATGGTATATGGTCAACCAAATGGCTACTATAAGGTGATGTCCAATATACCCAAAATGGGACAGGCAAACCAACCCCTGGGGATGATCATCCCGGTCATCCCGGTCATCCCGGTCGTTTTCGACCGCAACGGGCAACGGGGCGCCATTGAACATTGCGACCAGGGAAGAGAAGCTGATGTGCGATCTCTGCCAAATATCCTCCAGGCTGGACCAGGGTTTCAAGGGTTGCAAGAGGAAACAACACGCTTGGCCAACAACAGCCATATTTTATGGTATATTGATAGTTAAAGTATGTTAACTGGTTGGTGGTTTTATGAAAGTCAATGGGAAGGATTATCCCATATATTATGGAAAATAAAAACATGTTCCAAACCACCAACCAGTTAAAGTATCAAACCAAATATTTAATCCGTGTAGCTACCAGACTTGATGCTACAATGTCGATCTCCGGCCTGTATCGATGTAACCGGCCTGAAATGCCTGAAGCCCTGCCGTTGAGCTTAGTGGGGCATACATAGCAATGGCTGGACTGCTGTGACCCCAAAACTTAGATGCCCAAAACATCCCAAAACCAAGATGGCTTCAACATGCTTAAACCCGTTTTCTACCAACAAATTGACCAACTTGGATCAATTCTTAGGATTTGTTTCTTCCCCATCAGCAACCCGCTAATTACGCTTGGCATCGCGCTCTATGACTCTACGTCCTCGGAAGGTGAGGTGAAGCTTCTGGCCCAACATGTACGGATAACAAATTGGTTCCAACAAAAGCACAAAGATCCTGAGACGGCAGGGTGAAAATGCGTAAGCTGCTGAATGGATGGGACTAGTTACTAGTTACCATACTAATCATACTAAACCCCTAGTCATATATGGGAACACTGATGAATACGATGTTTTTGACCTACTGTAACTATCCCATTCCCAAAGGTGAAACGAAAAGAACCACAGCTTTGATGTCCTGCGATCAAATGGGACACAACTAGATGAAACGTGGGATGGTGAATATCTGAATAGCGAAACAATCAAGCGGACGGGACACCTATACCGATATAAAATGGCACAACTCTGAATACAGTTTTTTGCCCATTGTCCTTTCTAAAACAAGACGTTTGAAGATGGTCCCAAGATGTCCCGGGCACAGAACTTACGCATGTCAAGCGGATAATCCCTCGGTTGCTACCCAACACTGAAGCACCAAATCCAGGGTTGTAGAGGGTTGGGCATGGCTCAAAATGACTGGCTCAAAAATGAATGGCCAAATCTCAAAAGGCAACTACTCTGGCGGGTCATGGTGGGTTGATTTTGAAGTTGGCAAAATGGCCATCCCCAGCTTGGATTCAGCAGGGAGTCAGTATTTGCACCACGGTGTTGCGTGATTTCATCCAAACATCTCGACAGGAGGACTTCCCTGAGGTCTTATTCACCTTGCGGGCCATGACCCAAGAGATCGAAGTGGGAAACCTGGATGCCTTGGGGGAACTTTTGGGACAGATGAGAATGAACCAATAAGTTGATGAACATCGAGTCTTTCTCCTCGAGTAGAAGGGCCTGTCTGCCTGCCATTCCAGAATCGATTTGATGATGCTCTGCCGAGATGCTCCCCTATTTTAAGTACAACCATCACGTGGCTATGTATGGCTATGGTTAAAAAAAAAAAACTGGCGACCCCGTGACCGCCCACACATGTTGGCCATTGACCCTCCACGCCCAGGCGCAAAGCCGGAGATGAAGGCTAGAGTCCGAGTTTGGAATGGGTTCATTAAGGACAACACATCAAAAAAACCTCAGCTGGAGCGGCTCCTGCAGATTGCCGCAGTTGGTTGATGCCAACCATCCACTATACAGAGTAGTAAACCAAAAAAAGATGCCGAAAAGTGCTTCCACAATGGTACTTTGATGATGTCTTCCCCACAATGTCCATGTTCCAACGTTCCTACTAGTGTTTGTATCTTTTTTTGGAGTGTTATATATAGATAGACATGTTGAATACATAGATGGACATGTTAAATACATAGATATACATATCATATATATATACACCTAATATACATATATAGATACACATGTCATATATACATTATATACATGATATGCATATTTTAAATAGAGACATGTACATATTATATATATACACCTACTGTATCATATATAGTATATTTCTCGCATGGCTTGGACATGTCACGTCACATGTCACATGTTACCGCCAGGCCACCCGGATACTGTGGGGTCAGCATTTCGGTGGCAAGGACCAAGGTGAGCATCAGAAACCGAGCATTGTCCAACACCGCCTTGGCGCATGGCGAACAAACCACCTGGGGAAGGTCAGTTGGGATATCCAGGACTCCAGGGTCAATTGGCAACTAAAGAATGGTCAAAATGGGTAGTTCGAAGTTGATCACAACATGATTTGCACATCTTGTAAAATGATGTAAAATGTGGTTCTTGACCGGCAACTTGCCAGACTATCAAGTTTAGCAGAGAGGGAAGAAACCTCCCAGACCTTTGCGCAAGTTCCCCATCAGATCAGTGTTTTTTCCTCATACTTCCAAAATATCCCATGTGCGCTTCCAAATCAACAACCTTTCAATGGATTAGTGATTAGTGACTAGTTCCCATTGAAAATGCGCATCCACATGCCCCATCCCTTTGCCCTCGAAAAAGTGCAAGTGCCACAACGTCAACATGTCCCAGGCTCCGAAGGTCTTGGCGCGACACTGTTTTCCAGCTGACTTCCTGGGCTACGTGACCGTCACAGATCTCAGGAAACCATCCAGTCACAGATCTGAGGCTGAAACTCGAGCTGCAAATATTCTTTGGGCATGTAACAATGCTACGTCAAAGAGTCCCTCCCAAATCTGACATGGCGAAAGCAAACTACGAATGCTGATATGCTGATATGCTGATGCTTCAACCCAATTGAGGCGGAATCACCTACTTTCAACCATGGCAAGATTGATCTTAGAAAGACATATAAATGCAAACGACAAAAACAATAAAACTAATGAAACCATCTAAAACCATATAAACCCATGTAGAAGCACATTTATTATCAGTTATTCTGGTGAAGCTGTCAAGACATGTCAAGACATAACTTTAAAACGCAACAAAGCCCACCAAATCGGCGCCTAGGAGATAAAGCGCTGGTCCAGCCATGACCACCTCCGCACATGGTTGGTGCTCCACATCTATTAGGTAGTTTACCCTTGGGGTAATCAATAGTCATGATACAACAGTTATGTATATTCCTGTTCCGTTTTTTTAGTTAACACATTGTCAATTATATCAGTATCCTTTTGGGAACAATAGAGGACAACTATTGATGTATCATAATCAGAACTAACATGAATCTATTCATATCATCTACCTATTCATAACCAATGTATTGTTTGGAATACTATTCATTATCATACCCTACTTGAGGCCCAGGGGTAAGGGCAAAAAGCTAGCTTGGCAGGGGCTTGGCATGAAACACAATGATGCTGAGGATGCGGATGCTGCCAAATTTGCTGCCGGTGGCAACATGCCGACAGCATCCTCGGGGGGATTGAGCCACGGCCAAACTGCTCCTCGCTAAAGCAAAAGGGACTTCAACTAGCAGAAGCTAGCTTTCGTGATAGAGGAACAATCTTCATTTTCATCATCTTTGGTTGTTATTTTGGTAGTATTCATCTGGCTATGCCAAACGAGAATATATATATATATAACCAGTATGCATCATCATCTACTACCTATTTGGTTGTTATTTTGTTGGCCATCATTTAACTCTCGTTTTTTACGGTTCGGTTGCATAACATTCAATTTTTGACTTTTGACCATGGCATAACATAATAAATAGTTGATGGCTTCAAATCGGGATCAGTGTGGTTAATTTATATATACATATTCAGATATGATCGCTGTTTATAATTGGGTTCTAAAAAACAACCCTATACAGTAAATGGGTTGATATCCAACCAACAAATAGGATACATATCGAAAAGCTATTGGAATGATCAATTAAGATTTCATGATAAATGAAATAAGGAGGTCGACAATGCCGTGCCCGATCACGAACCTTAACAAAAGGCTGTAGAATTAACCATCCCAACCACAAGGTTTTTATAAACGATCTTAAACCCTCCGGTATCTTTTACGCTTAAATCAGTTCCCTCTCATTTGGCTTGTTTTTTTTTCTAAGAAGCCCACGTACAGCGAATTCCCCTACACGATATATGATTATACATATAAAATCATATGTATATATATATATAGAATTATATAGATATAGATATGAATGTGGGCGTTCAATCCTTTTTATTGGTCAAAAAGCCTCAAAATCAGGGTCATGTAAATGTAGCAAACCCCGCAAAGATCAAAGAAGCCAAATTCCAACAACACAATCGGAAATCGCTGTTTGAAAGACAAGATAGAAAATGCAAAATCCCCACTTAAAAGTCGTGGGAAGTCAATGGGTTTTATATGAATTTACTAGATGTATCATGATGTTCTATATTGTTCTATCTTTTTCTCGGATTTTTTTGGGTGCCCTTCTGCAAATGCCATGAAAATACTGGGCCACCAGGCACTCTCTGCTTGACTCCCCAAAACACGACCGCTATTGACCGCTATTGGCCCGGAAGCTGCGGAGGTTGATTCTGATGTCATCGCAGGTGATACATGGTGATATACTAAGGAATTTTGTCAAACAACACCAGATTTGTTAAAAAATATCAGGGGATTGGTTAATACCGCATTGATACCTATTCCATTTGAGTAATCCAATGGTTCTGGGATACCCTGAGAGTAATTGAATACCCCTGTGCAATGAGGGTAACTCCATCATCATGGGAATCGCCATGGGAATCGCATGGTTCAAAGATGTGAAAAAAACCATCATTCCACAAAAAACTGGTCGATTTTCAGAACAGGAGTGCCAGTCATTACATAAAAAAAAATCACGCGAATGCTAAACAGGATTGCAGATCCACCAACAGGGGCTTAGCAGCCACTGCTCAACCAATGAGATTGGTTCACCCATCCCAATTGTTCAAATCCACGAGACGTTTCAAAAAACATCACCAAATCGACCACGTCAAACGGGTATCCATAAAAATCTGGAAAACACCAATGAAAGTTGGCTGGAATTTGAAGCATCCATGTAAATCCTAGGATGGCTTCACAATAAAGAACGTCTAAAATCCATACTTCGAGCTCTTACCAGCAGGAAAATCGCCTACTTGGTGGTTCATCCTACGAATCGTAAGCAGGTTATAACCCCAAGTTTTTGTTTCTTAACTCTACTGACCCTACTGATCTCACTTACCAGGGATACCTTTCTGGGATGAACCGCAACCTTTCCAAATCCTGAACTCCACCAACTTTGGGGTCAATTCTTGTCCAAATTCTTCAGGAACTTCAACAAAGTGAGGCAGGCTGAAAGCCCAACCCTGGAAGATCCGGAAGCGTGGTTTCATGTTTTCGTTTTCTTCGCGTTACAACCGGCGGCTCCGGGGTCGCTTCTCAGGAAACCAATCGGCAGTTCCTGACGGCATGAATGGCATTACGAAAGGGTGAGGTGATCGTAGAGATGGCACACAATGGCACCTGGTTGGTGGACTCAACCCCTCTGAAAAATATTAGTCAATTGGGTTATTATTCCTAATATATGGAAAAATATAAAAAATGTTCCAAAGCACCAACCAGGCACACTGCCATATCTCCTGACATTTCCCAATGCTCGATGCTGCTGGAATATTATACCCAACATTTGCACCCAAAATGACCCGAGGGGTAAATATTCCACACATGGAGCATATGGGTGAAACTCATTGAAGTTGGGAAGTTTGCTGTGACTCTTCCTGCCAGAATGATAGTAGCCGCTGGCCGAACTTGGCACCAAAGAAACCCCAAAGCTTGGCCCAGGCATGAGAACATCTGAGAACAATGCCTGGGTGTGTCTGAAATTAGGGGAACAAAAACTATTTTGAGAGTGAATCATCATTCCTCATTCCATTAAAATCCAATAAATGTCCAAACAAAGCTGATTGGTCACCCGAGAAAGTGCTCGCTGCTCGCTTCTAACTGCTGCCGTTTTTTATGCGACAGGTGAAACGGTTTAGGAACTCGCCATTGCGGCGACGCTTGGCTTCTCAGCTTGCATGGAGTAAAACGAAATGATCCCTTGCGGATTGATAAAGCGGTGACATGACCGGTATGGCTCAGAATTGTGAAACAAAAACATTTCATTTTTTGGATGATTAGCCAATAGATGCAATACATAAAGAACAATATGTACTGTGGCTTCCCATTTCCATGGTTTCGTATCGCAACGCGATGCGCTGAGGGGATCCACCATGAGGTCGTTATGCCCCGCAAAATTGGGTCTGGAACTTTCTCATTGAATATGGCCATGGTTTCTATAAAATCGGGATGTGATTAACACTAATGGAGTTGCATTCGCAAGAACCCAACTTCCATAGCTTCAACCTCCAATCATATCAGATTGCAATGTTGTTTGTTCCCAGCGACTGAGAACCCAGTTCGGAAGGCTCTGCAAAGGACCAACGGACGGTGCGGTGTAGAGATATCAACTATGGCCATGTCATGGGGAGTTTGCAACTCACCGCTGCCCAATTGGTCCTTCAAATTCAATGCAGCTACATAAATCCGCGGGACACAAGAGAAACACCACCACGGCCACCATGGTGACTGAGTGATGCAGCACAATCTGATCCCATACAGCACTAAGTGTCAGCTTTCAGGTGGAGTCTGGAAGGCTATTCACATGAGCCATGTGGCTAAAACCCCGGTCGGTTGATGATTATATTGGATCATACTAACCAGTATAATGGGGAATATCACGATCCATTAAAACAATCCCTGTCAACCAACCAGTACAAAAAGACGGGGGTTTTGAACTCTGCTCACATGATTGTCTTTTCAAATCATCAAAAGCAACGCCACACTCCAAAGATTGCTATGCCCTGTCGAAAATTGGATATCCCTAAATCCACTGGTTTAATAAATGGCTATGGATCAATACCTATTAATACCATTTTTAGTGGGATGAACATCCATTTACCAGCTATTTTGATGTTCACCAGGGGTACAAGGTTTTGACACACTGCCAAATCTTTTACCACATGTTCCCTAGTAAAATTACTATTTTAGGGGTCCTCCATTCTCAGACCCATGTTGATACACAATGAGTTGGGTTTCCTAAAATAGGACGCAAAATCATTCAAGTCATTAAACCATGTTAGTATTGAAACAACCATGGTGACTTGGGGTACCCCCATTTTGGGAAACCTCCACATGGTGGATGAAAGTGGATGATACTGGTTACCCCAAGAATTAGATGGTTCATAGTAGACATGTACTAAAATCTCTGGTCCTTGGGCTTAAATTTTAACTCATCTCCAAATGACTCTCAACAACTAATCAATGGAATTTCCCTAAAATGGAGCTCATGTACCCTGTTTTTGGCCATATTTTTTGGGGTACATCCCCTAACATTTAGCCATTACATAGGCCTTAGGCCTTGGTACCTACCATAAATCGGTGCCTGAAATGGCCATTGATATGGCTTATTGACCAATAATAGTGTAGTCATATACACATCATACACATCATATTCATGTATTCCTCAACCTGGTGATATATGATAAAAAAATATCACCTGGTGATATGTCATCATACACATAACATATTCTGGATGAAACTTGGTCAACAAATGACTCTCAACGACATTCCCTTGGATCCCACAGAGTTTTGTCTGCCACAAAAGGGACCTCGACGGACGTTCTGACCGCGGCAAAACGGCGACGCCACGACGGGGTGTGAACCAGCGAAAAATGGAACGCGAAGGTCAGCAGAAGGTTTGATGGTGCCAGGTTTAGGTTGGATTTTGAGGAAAACACTAGTTTTGATAGTGGAAAATGGTGGAAAATGATGATCAACCAGGATAATTGATTTTGATCCTCAATATGTGGATATATCCAGCTTGAAACCCTGCTATTGTATGTACGTAAGTTTTATGTATCGGAATACTCAGGCCGCGATATCACGTTGGGAAGCAGCAAATCCTTGTATCTGACCCAGAAAAAAGGAGAAATTCTGGCTTTATCATGGTGATGATATGTTATACACATCTACCTACGCAGATTTGTATACACGCTTCACAACCCCCAGGCAAATAGGAAGCATTCGCAACTTAAATAGGTTGCCGGCCAGCACCTGATGATCTGGTGCCTCCGCAACCTACCACTCTCTGCATTTGTTGGATGTTGTTGGATCTGTGATATGTCTCCAACACCATCAAACCTCCTCATGCCATTGTTTCTGGCGCGTTCAATCCTGCAATCTGTCTATCGTCTGGCACTGGGTCATTTTGATTTTTCTCACAGTTTGGGTATGGGTAAAGGTTATTTTGAGCAGGGAAGCATCCCATTTTGCTGTACTAAGTTTATTCCAGCTAGATATCATCAGACTCAAGAATCAAGATCATGACCATGAAACCGGAGTTGGGAAGAACAGCTGGTGAGATGAGTCTGAACAAGTTTGAGAAATACCGAGTTGTTGGCGGCTATATTATGTCTTTTGCGGGTTATCATGCGAATTCTATCCACAAAAACAAGTCAGAATTATCATTCAAGGTCTCGCCGGGTCGAGGCCCCGAACAATTCAGAGAATTGTTGGAGGGTCCAAAAAGGGGATGAACAGGCACAGATGCGACATACTGCGCGCTACTAGTTGACTTGACCAGGCCTACCCAGGCCTTATTAAGGCTTTACAAGGCCGACTAAGCTTTCCAAATGGTTCCAATGAACAGGTCAACGGTATACACCCTTATTGAGAAAACCTGCTGGGGCCTGATGGTTCCAGGCTTTGAGGCTTCCAGAGTTACGGGTTCCAAGAATGGACAGTTCCAAGGGTGGAGGGCTCCGGTCCAAGGTTGGATGGTTCCAAAACACGTGTGAAAAAAAAGAATTCGGCATTGAAAAGGTCCACTGCTCTGCTAATTCATCCAACTTTTATCTATAGCCGAGCAACCCTATGGGGACAGCCAGCAGCCGACAAACAACTAATGTGAATCATTGAAACGACACCAAGTGGCGAGAGAAAAACATGTTGCAGTCCGAGCCTTGGGACGCAATCACAAGATCTCCAGAAAAGTTGCACATCTGCGACAAAAAACACAGTTCTTTTGTACAAGTCCATCCTATATATATATTATATAATATATATATAATATAATATAATATAATATAATATATATATAATATATATAATATCATGCATAAAAGTACCCATCTATTCACATCTCAACACTAGTCAAATCTACTGTAATCTGTCTATACTACTTCAGGAGGAACAAAGTTTATGTTTATTGAAATTTTTACAAAACATCCATCTCGGTCAACTGCGGATCAGCAGGTGTGGGACGGTCAATTATCACCCGCTTTTAAATCTGTAAGATTTTAATGCTTTCGGAGGGTGGAAATGCGACCGGGGCACGACAAAGCTCCATGCTAGGATTCCAAGGTGACAGGATGTGCAAAAGAAACCAAACCTGTTCATTGTTGGAAACTCAACGAACGCAATTTTTGTCCTATCAGTGTATAAGTGTCCGTCGAATGTAGATGTCACAACCCTATACATAGAAGTACGCTAAATTTGCAACATCTTTCCCCTCTATCCACAGGTAAGGCCATGTTTCAGCCGTATGAAGCACAGCCGCGTCATTTTCACAGCCGGCTGCGGCACCAAAAAACCGACGCACCGTTCACGAAGCAAAGAGGCTCAGGAAATCGACATCTAGAGAAGTAGGAAACCTCCGCTGTGCCAAGGTCAAAACAGCATGATGGGCCCTAAGAATCAACTCCTGGCAGTGTGAACACCCCATGGCCGCTAGGAGTTGATTGGGGTACCTTGTCTTGTACCGAGGCCCATCATTGTAGTGGGAATATGTGGTGGTTGTCCGATCATCCAACCTCTGCTGCAGGGGATTCCTTCTGTTCTGTTCCAAATGTTCTAGATGCTGGCCCCATATCATTATTGCTATCAGCATCATCATCATCATCATCATCATCATCATAAGTGGCCATTATATAATAATGAACTTATGATAATGGTCCCCAAGACCCCTGCTGCTTGATGATTATGGGGATTATACTCACCAAAGAAAATGACATCATCATAATGGTCCCTCTATACTAACAATCATAATCATCCGCTTTACCAATAAACATATGAAGAAACCTGGGGGAAATCATCCCAATTCTTTAGAAGTTACGGATAATCCATAGTTTCATGGAATAAAATGAGTATATCTATGATAACTTGGATGATCCCAATGGACAATAACTTGATCATAACCATAATCCAATTGGATATCTATGGTATATTGGGATAATAGATATCCATGGTATAATGTATATATATATAATTATATATATATGTATATATTGTATATTGGGATGATGATGGATAACTATGGATGATTAAGCTGATTGGGTATCATGATCTTATCCCAATGACTATCCATTGGATCCCCATGGTAACTGGGAGCAACTCCTGCGACCCAGCCGCGGCATCCGTTGCGACTCCCGTTGCTCCCGGGCCGCGCGTGGCTCCACGGAGCGCCGCAAGGGACCCCGTTGGTCACCGCGGCCGTGGCGGGTGACGATGACCTGAGGAAAAATCATGGTTTCATCAGCAAAATTGATGATTCAACTATACAACATTGGTGATCGGGAATTCCGATGGTGATCCATTGACACATACTGGAAATTGAATTTGGTGAATATGGGCAACTATATATGCAACTATGAGGGGTTTTCACGTCGTAAAAATGTCGTACCTCATACTACCTCATCATAAAAACGGTGAGGTGAGCATTGCGTTTCAACCGACGAAAAACGGCTATGGGACCTTACCAAATGAACTGTACGCTTTCCAGGAAACCAAAAATATGAACTGCAGTGAGAAGGAATGGATGGATTCTAAATGAAGACTTCTTGGAAAAGAGTGGGATCTCACAAGGCAAATTTGGCATGCGCTCAATAGCACATGAGCGAGATCGTCATGAATGAAGGAATGCTTTTTCGAGGTTATAACTATAAATGTGATGACCCGCTTTTTGGGAATCCCCTGCGCCGTGGTTGTTCAAATGGTATGGGTCGCCTTTTCTCAGAGTAAGTTTTCCCTCAATTTTCAGACAAACCCGAATGAAGACTCAGGATGATTTGGACCTTCATCACTTAACTTGGCATGTGCTACCATCCGGTAATTAGTCAAAGATGGCACTGAAAAATCCACCGGTTATAGAGGATATTTCCCATTAAAGTTGGCCATTTCGAGTGGGCCTGCGGTGGGGTCGCATCGCCACGTCGAAAGTTGGGGTGGAGCACATGTTCGTCCACCTTCCGCGAATGGTTGATGCGGGGGAAGCAAGGACAAAGTTGGGCCTGCCAAGATGGATTCTACCAACAAAACCACCCAAAAAAAAAGTTCGAACCAACAACATTCGGATTTCAACCAGAAAAGAGTGAGTTACCAACCAAAAGGATTTGGATTTGAAGCAACCAACAATCGTGAATTTAAGAAACAAACATAGAAATCACTACCAAATGAGTGGAGATAATGGGGATGACGAGCACCAAAAATGGATATACCCCAGCAAGACTTATGACATGTGTAGCAGCCACCACTCATCAAGTAAAACAACCCCTCATGTCGCTCCACTGAAAACCCCAAATTATCCCAGGTTGGGGTCCGGTTAAATCGCGGCTCCATACCCAGATTCAGGTCTTCACAGCCAGATCCAGCATATCCCATTTCCTACTTACCTCAAGGCTGTCAAAGATCCACTTGGGTTTTCTGAAAAAGATTGAGGCGGAATTCCCTTCCATCCAGTAAATGATTATCATGTTCCCCAGTATTTCATGGCCATGTGGGTCAATGCCCCATTTTTTAGATACACCCAAGTACAGTAGGTATATATATACACACACACATAGCGGCCATTGATATCCATCAATATCCCATTAAAGTCACATTTCAATGGCTATAAATCGCCACTTCCCCCATGAACTCGGCGCTTTCGGACCTCCACGTCTTCCATCTGCATCTCTGGGTGCGACCGACGATCTCTGCGGGTGGGGGGCGTACCGCCGCACCTCAGAGGTTGAATGGCTGGATCTACCCAAATTGGAGGTACCTACCATACATAAAGCCTATGTAAGGGCTAAATTTCAGGGGATATACCTCCAAAATATGGCCAACAATATTGTACAGTAGCTCCATTTTAGGATCATGTAATTCCCATTGCACATATTTAACCATCTATAGTTGGGGATACTTAGGATTAACTTTCGTTTATTAATAGTTGAAATGAAACCATCACTAATGAACATCCTTCTCAGATATCAAGGCTTAACTACTGTATGTATATACATATATAGTCATGCCGGAGTAGAGAATATGTTTTGGGTTTTTTCTCTAACCCAATACAATGGTGATACCATTGAAAATCCCATGTTCTATCTGCTTCATGATTATTATATATATATATAATTATATATATACATATATGTAGGCTCCTACTCCACTGTATATGATGAAATGTGGTGAAATCACAATGTTTGACTGTTACACTCCTGCAAACTAACATACAGCAGATGTGTAAATCCCAGAATTTGTAGATCCTCTTCCAAACGGGAAACCATTGGTTTTCAACATAGATAAACGTTTTCCCCAGGGTAAGGGTCAACTTTTCCATTTTAGGGGGATCCCCTAGATACAAGCTGGATGAAAATGTGGCTCGACCACCCATAGTTCGATGATTTTCCCAGCTATATAAGTCTCCATTGAGAACCACTGATAGGTGATTTCCTAGCAGCTATGTTTGATGGCGCCGGAGGGTATAGATTCTCGTTTATCCAAATAGATATGTGACTATATCATGTTCTATCCCCAGTCTTTTTCCCCATGAAATATCCCCAATATTGCCCAATATGTAGTTGATATGGATTATATATTTCCAAATTTCAAGATTTCTTAACCCAATAATAAACCATCCCCAATCCCAAAAATCACCAAAAATGTGTGGTTATTTCCCATCTCCAAATGGTAGGTTTAAAGGGTTTCCCACCTTATCCCCATCCCATTGGAATTCCAACATTATTCATTGGACTATCATTATTAATTGGGTTAATATCGCAGCAGTATATAACTATGTTATTAGTACATATGCCATGGAAATATTAATTATTGTCTTATTTGAATGAATAGTAAATATAGTAATAAAATAATTGCTAATATGAATAACGTTGGAATAATTACCCTCCAGTATAGCTGAACATTGAAAATTGCCAGTTTTTAGTGGAAACTAATCTTCCACATCCCCCATTTAAATGATTTGTTTTTTTTTAAAAAAAAATTACTGGAGGGTATTATATTCCATTAGAATTCCAACATTATCAATTGGAATTCCAGATTTCCAAAAAAAAGCCACTGTTTCCAGCCACTGTCCAGCCACGATTGGGGGCTCGCCGGCCATGCGTCTCCAAGACCACAACCAGAGACCTGGATGGGTCAGAAGGAAGGATCATCTGTCTCCCCAAAAAAGCATGTTTTAGCACAGTTTAGCACTCAAAAATACATGTATATATATATACTGTATATATATATGTATATGTATATATGTATATGTATATATGTATATGTATATATTTTACTTATGTATAATCGCTATATCAAAAAATAGTATGTATATAACTAAACCTATATATATACATATATGTATGCATCATGTGTGTGTAGATAGAGTATATATATATATATATGGAACATCTTGTAGGTCCATTGCTACCTCAATTGCGGCACCACAAAAAAGGCTTTATAACCGAGAAACATCGCCTCGATGGACCTTAAATCCTGTTCCCCCATAGACAGTGATGCCACAAATGCTACCCAATGATCAAGGGGTAGATACTACATAGAAAAATCAGTATACACTATATAAATATGCTATGTACTATGTATATATATATATATGTCCATGATTGCCATTGAGGGAGACCACTTGAAGGATGAGGTACACCGCTTGGAGATCCACCGAAATGACGCGACACTTGAAGCTGGCTTGCGTGTGAAGGCACGTCAGGAACCATGGATAGTTAATAGTTAGAAAATGTTAGAATATATATATATATAGTTGTCAACATGTGTTGGATATTATATATATACATGCGTATATAAAACATATATGTATATATAACGTATAAATAATTTACAGTCCACTTATATCATATAAATATGTGTTATATATAGAACATATATGTATATATATGTATATATAACATGTACATATAATATATATATATATATTACTATATGTTATATATATATATCAGTGTAGATACATAAGAAATCATAAGAGAATGGAACATATGGCGGCTACCCCCATGGTACCAACGATGCCCCGCCTCCAAGGCTTGCGGCTCCGCGAGCACTGGCCGTTGCGCTTTGGGCGCCGAGTGGCGGAACCTCGGGCCGTGGGTCGCCGTGGGTAGACCCAGAAGATGAACCAAAGGATTCATATCATTTAATAGGGAAATTATGGGAAAATATGGGAAAATATATGAAAATATGGGAAAATGATGAACCAAAGGATTTAGGGCCCTAATTTCAGGCACAGCCATATGTAAACCCTAGGTTCTATGGTTTCTGTGGTTCGATTTCTATGGTTCATGTTAATGTGTGTACTAGCTCATATGGATTATTATGGTTTTTCGAAAAAAGGAAAAACTCGTGAAAGCACCAGCCATCTCATTGCTTGTAATCCAAGGCCAGGCTGCAAATCAACCCGGACTCTGACATGGCACAAATGTCTCTGGATGGTGGGAAATCATACTCCTACAGTATCCGCTACCCCCACGGTTGAGAACCCAGGGGATCTCCACCCTCAGCGCGCAGGTCTTTGTCTTGTGAAACCACGGGTTGTTTGGCATCGCCAGCTAGTGAGGTCGCTGCCGTCACCGGAGACTTGGGAATGGGGAAGGCCAAAGACTGGTTCAAGCCAGGATTGGATCAACCCAGGTTGAGCAACTAAGGGGGTACCCCGAAATTGGCATAATAGTCTAGTGATAGCCTGCCGCCCAAAATGGTGGGGCCCAGCCTAGGGGTTCAGCAAAATCCTAAGTCCAAATCATGACGGATGCGACCCAGTCGTAGGTGTGAAAACTATATACACCAAACAGGTTCCAACTTCCGACAGTCTCAACATGTCTCAGCATGTCTCAACAGCTTGAGCGTGGGAAGTACCGAAACGCCAACTGATTTTTGTTGCAAATCTTGGATCATTATAGATCTATGTCTTGGTTGATTCTCTGTGCACGGCACAGTGGCACCGAAACAACTCAAAAAACCTGAGGGCTCCTCTAAAGTCGATGCTTTTGCTGCAATTCAGAACATATATCAATTATTATCAATTATCAGATATTATCAGATCTAAAGATATTTAAAGCTCAAAACTTCAACATGGACTTCAGTTTCAAGACACTGTGGATGGTTCAGAAATCCTGCACCAGTTGGTAGATGAGCAAAATCCCATGAAAGTCAAAAAAAGCCCCATTCTTACAGTGTTTCATAGTTCCCAATAGTTACTATCCATCCAATGTCTCACTGAAAAATCGCTGGAACCCGCTGAAAAGGTCACGGCCGCCCAATCTGGCGATGGTAATCTGGCAATGGAACATGGATGGAAATTGCCTACGTAGAAATGGAGGGTTGAATAGGAAAATCCCCTATAAATGGAGGGTTTAATGGAACAATCATCTATAAATGCTGGATTTTCCAGCTAGCGATTTTTGATGCAGAAGGTAAACTTCATTCGCTCAAATACCCTGCAACCAACATGTACTTCTCTTCTGGTTTTTCATCAGATTTATGGAGATTTATGGTCGAAAATGATCCATCAACGCACCATCCAAAGGTTGATTCTCAAACCCCAATGGGGACTACGTACAGACATCCAACCAGCAGAAAGCCCCAGCTAGGATGAGTTAAGACCTCTGGAAATCAAACATGGTTTGCTGAACAATATCCCATGTCTAGATGAACAAGAGGATTTCCATTTATATACACGGGATTTCCACAATTGCCACGGCACCGAGGCACCAAAAAGACCAGGAAAATATTGCAAAACCCCAAACGGCCATGAACAATGAAATTCATGGTAGCCTATTTTCACAAATCCACCATGTTCTACCGTATGCACACATTGGGCCAGCGTGATTGTGAAGAGCTGATGCCTTTGGCACAATGAAAGCGCGAGAGCAGGTCTTTGAAATCCAAGGGTTGCCCGGGGTCAATGATCAAACATTGATGGGCTGAAGTGGGTCTAAATAGATGGAAAGTATTGGAAAATGACGAACATGTATTTCTGGACTCGATCTATTTGGGCCTATTTGGAGTCCGATGGTTCAAATCTGGAACCCGACTATCTACTGGCCGGCGTTTCAGAGATGGCCAGGTGAAATTCATCACTGAAAAATGGGAGAATCATGAAAATCTGCTGCGTTTTCCACTTCCCAAAGGTTTCACAGAGATTCATCAAGTTGTTGATTCGCCAGTGCTGGGCCACTTTTGGATCCTGAAAAATCTCCACCCAGGTTGCCCTGGATCTCAATGACTAGACCCTCGCTTCATCTCCAGGATCCAGGTGTTGCAAACGTTCCAAGAGCGGTAAATTCTGAATGCCTTCTTCGCCCAGTAGATCCATTAACTCCACCTGTGCCGTGCAGGCAAAAAATTGGACCTGTTTAATGGGATTAAATGGGCCGGGATTGATGTATTGGTATATTTATATATACATATATATATAGATAGATGTAGATATAGATATAGATATAGATATAGATATACATATATATATGTAAGCAACTATATCCAATTATTGGATTCTTAGGGGATTTAACAACAACCTATGAGGATTGAATCATCAAACATTGCCGGTTTCACAATACCCCTAACAAATTGTCATGCAGTTTCGGGACAATAATGATAAACAGCCAACTTTCACAAGGTATCCTATTTTCAGATCAACACATGCGCGGAGGGGACGAGACTAACTTCAAAGGATTTCAACATATTCTAACAATATTCTAACAATCAAAATATGTTTCTAGAATCAAACATGGTGCTAGAACATGGTATAACATGATATAACAACCAACAAGAGTAAGGTGTCGATGGAGTAATTAAAGGAGAAATCTACAGTTGCAGCCATGGTTTCACCAGCGATAGGCCTAGAGGGGTCCGGTTCGAGTTTCCCTCAAACCAATTCTGGAAGAAAGGTTGGAGAGGTAAAATATGATGAATATGGTAGATTGCAACAAACATAGGGACAACCATATGTAACCCTCAATCAACAGGGATTTCTAGAGCAACCATCATGAATCTACATAAAGTGAACGATACTTTTCATATAGAACCCCCAAAAAAGTAACATGAACTTAGCAGCTCCAGCACGCAGCACGCGCAACGCTGAGTGCTAGCATGCAGGTTCGTCACGCAGTGGGTTTTTAGCATTGTGATATATGTGAATGCATTTAACTAGATCCAAAAAAAACATCCATACAATTTTTAGACCTTAAAGGGCTAGTAAATCGCAAGTTCGAAACGCATTGGGTTTTATTATATATCCTATTCATACCGCGGTGCATTTACTTCTCTGTGAAAAAAGCATCCGGTAACGTGCGAATATCTGCCTGACGTCCGGATGCATTGTGCGCTTCCCAAAAAAAGCATCTGGGGTTTCCCCGTTTCCTCCAAAAGGGTAAATTCTTTCAGGGTGTTGAAAAGATCAACGCCACTTGGAGGTACTCGTGTGGCTCTCATGAATGTGATGAGTATCTCATGATATCTCATGCTTATCGTCACTCCAATGCATAATTTTCCTATTCCAATAAAAGCATCCACTATCTAAATCAAGATAAACATATCTACATGGGTTTGTCTGAAAATAGGGCCAGAAATCCAGTGCTTTATCTCCATGTTCCCCATTAAAATGTATCAAAATAGCCATGTCGATCCATTTCAAGTGTATATCCCGGTATATCCCTTCCCGAAAATGTTCCACCAAAAACAGCCCTTCCACCTGTAACAGGAGCTCGTCGGCTTCCATGGTATCTCCCAAGGGCCTACGGTCACGCAGGAAATTCAGGGCCTGGTCAACCTTCTCCTCGCCTCCCAAAGAGGATGACAACCTGGGCTCGGCGAAGCGGTCCAGTACAACAGGATGACAACGCTTGGGTTCGATTTAATTCATGGTGGTTTGATAAAGCAACTTATAGGTGAATAACCTTGATATAAGCCAATTAGATCATTAGATGATATAATGGGTTTGTTCTGTAGATTGATTATGGGTTATATTTTTTGCTCACAAACCGCTGACGATTCGTGAGATGCACATCCAAGTTCCAGAAGCAACTGGGGTTTTGGCTGTTTACTTTACAGTAGCTAGCAATTTTTCGTAGAGATATGGAGATAAATGTGGGAACACATGGATCTATGATGATCCATGCTTAAGCAGCAAAAATAGCAGCAACGCTTGGGAATTGAAACGACCAAAAGTTGAGGTCTGACGGTCCCCAGATGGATTGGATGCAGACCGAGATGCGATCTAAACCTTCCTACCTGGAACCTGAAAATGAACAGATCCACAATTTCTGGGCAACCGCCTCGGAGACGGTGGTTCATCCACCTTCGTAAAGATGCCATGAATAGGTTAATAGGCATAGTCATGGACATAATCACAATTGAAAGCAGCTATTATTTTGTATTGGGGGAAAACCCAGTGTGCTTGGTTTATCCAAAGATATGCATATATCATATTATATCATCATATATCCATCTTTTTCAAGTCAAGTACAGTAAGTACATGGAAATACTTGAGAAAATAGCAACCATTTTTCGCGCCATTACCTATCTAAGATGGTCCAACTGACCCTCCAGTATTCATGCCAATGAGTGGCACTTTACAGAATCTCCATGTTCAGTAGGAAGAGCATCTTAAGACGTGGATATATATATATACATACATATTATGATAGTTCACATATATATATATATAGTTCACATACAAATATGTTTTTTGTGTTGGCTTTTCCAACCAGCCCCAAAAATATCTCTTGCTGTTTGGAGGGTCTACTTAAATTCTCCAACAATCTGAGTAGATAGATAAGGGCTGCGAGGAACGGTTGAAGCCCAGTTATTTTTGTCGGGTCTACAATAATTATTAATATATCATGATATATCCACCATCAATCCAACAGTTATCCCAGTTATAAACAAACTTACCTAGGCCATAATGGCCATAAATCAACAATGAATCCCAATTCTTACTGGTTAGATCCCAATTTTTGGCTCCTATCTCTGGGGGCCATATGTTTTTTGCCCATCTCCAAGCGACGTGGTCCGCAACTTCTGCGTCTCTTCCCCCCAGTTCTGTTCCGGCAGTGGCACCAGTAGTGCCTCTGCCTCGGCCAGCAGCTGGCGCCACTCCTGGTTGCCCAGGTTATGGTCTGTTGGCCCGGCCTCGTCCTCGATTTGGAAGTCTTCCTGGGAGCCGGGAGCGCCCATCCGATGGGTAGAAGTAGTAGCCACCCATGGATCAACAACGAACAATATTATGGGTCAAATTCTGGACCCCAATAATTGGAAGGTTTATATTAAACATAGACTCAAACCTGTGGTTGGTCTCTAATTGTGACCCATACCTATAGATGAAGTGAAACAACACCAGAGGGAATTGAAGCTACTGAAACATGATGATTTGACAAGAAAATTGGTTAGTGGTCATAGGCCAGGTGTCACTATCCATACACAGCGGAACATCAGGTGTGACCCAGTTGGTGTCGGAAGATGTCAGAAGATCATCTCCAACAAACCAACTGGCACATGACAGAAAAACACTGGAAGATCGAACATTAAATGGAGATAATTTTGAAAGAAACATAAAGAAACAGTTTAATCACTCCTTTGTCATCTCACCCCAAAATTCCCAGTCCAATAACTCATCAACCATCAGCCCCAAAACCTCTTCTGATCGAGTTGCCAAAAAGTCCATCTCCTGATCTGAAGAATGACCCGATCGACCCGATGGCTCGGCAGGTTGCTGGGAGTCGCTCTCAAAATCCGATGGATAGGAACAGCCTTCCGTCTGAACAGATGTAGCTCCTAGGCTTGGCAGGTGCCAAAGCTGTCAGCATCTTTTTGGTTCAGATTTTGGGCAGGAAAATCTGCCACAACCAGCAAATCCAACGCTAGAAGGTGCATTCTTTCCAAGAAAATCCAATTCCTTCCCACAGCAGAACCATTCAGGTGGTTGTGGAGTTGGGGAATAAAGGTTATAAATTATAAACCTATGGCAACCGGTGAGCAAACTCCTGGCCCATCACATGGCAATGATATATTTCAGCATTTTATAGCTGAACAAAAAACATTTACATGAGTCAGACATATCCGATTATAAACCTACTCACCAAAAATCAGAATCAGATCAACTATCTGAATCTGCAACCTCCCCAAAGTTTCAGTCCAGTCCAAGATCAACCAAGAATTCACTCAACGCATCTCAAACCAGATCCAAGTCACTGAAGGGTGTGGCCGAAGGACTCCTTGAAGGAAGGTCCAGCTCATCCTCCACCAGCCCTGGAAGTCCCGGGGTGCGCGCACCGTACCCCATGAAGTTCGAGCTGCCACCAGTGCCGCCCAAATCTTGGCTCCGGCCGTGACCTGGGTATAGGGCTGGGGCAGGTGGGAATTAATATATATATACTATGCATATATATATATGTGAACATGTGAACTATCTCTATATAATATATATATATATATGATATATATAATGTCATTCTCAAGAATTTAGGCGGTACTATTAAAATCAAGATCTTTGAGGAGCATGCGAAACAGGTACTTCTAGCTTCGGTTTGTCTATGATAGTTATATCACCTTTCGAGCATGTCAAAGTTTTCTTGAAATCGAATCGCATCAGATCTGAACTCTGAAGACCATGGGAGGCTGGCCCATTTGTAAAGGTTTGTGAGTTCAAAATCAACAGGTGCTTGCACATGAAATGCTTTTTGGCCAGACTTTAATATTAATGCCTTTCTGGTATTTATGATACTATTTACGGTGCCATGGTACTATTGACAGTAAGAATACATTGTATCTATGACCGTTATTGTGCTTACCACTTAAACACCGGTGATTGTTTGAATGTTCTATCATTCTACTTTATCAACTTATAATATTAATGTAGTACACCGACTAGCGTCCTGGCTCCCTATTGTGAGTTTTTTTTCCTGACTAATTGAGTATCCTGCCGTTTGTTGGGGGTGGGCTCTATTGCGGGAAGTTTTTTCTCAAATCCAATTTTTTCAGGAGGAGCTTTATCCACCTTTATACACCTTTCTTTGGGTAAAGCTGGTCCATTTACTTTAGAAAGCCATATCCATGTTAAAGCCTTGAAAATGCAAGATTCCCCAAATAATTAGATGCCTTATTAAACCCTTAAAAAAAAACAGCACCCAAGCAATTTTTCAAGGGGGTACCGCATGAGTGACCGAGATCCTCAAATTTGAAAGGAAAATCAATTGAACGTAGATTCAAATGAATTGAAAGTAAATTGATTTCAATTGAAATCCTTTCTTATCAATAGATTTGTTTGAGGCTTAAAAGAAAATCAATTGTAAGTAGATTGATTTAAATTGAAATCCTTACGTACTTAAGTTGATCATCCTGAATTCCCCAGACCTGGTCCCCAGAAAAATGCCGAGTTAATGAGTAGACCAAAATTGTTTGAGGGGGGGCCCTACACTAATCCGCGTCCAACATTAATAATATTGCATAATGTTATATCATATCAAATCATATGATATTATGATATGCCATATATACATATCATATCATATCATATCATATCACATCACATCACATCACATCATATCATATCATACATCAGGACGAAGAACGTTTCTTCCCGTTTAGCGTCTTATAAACATCATGATCCTCAGCCGCGGATCAATTATCCTCATTTCGCGTGGCCTGCGTAGCGGATCGTATTGCAAGTCGGAATAAATTAAAACTCTTTTAAAGCAAACCAGCTGATCCTCGATCCGCCATGTGATTCATATGAAACCTGTCAGGAGTCTAAGGGGAGAGGGTTGCAGCAGTTAGAGGAAAAACTTTTGTCCTGGTGTTGTATCACATACTAATCATATCATACATACATATATTGTTACCCTCTGGTAAACTAACATAATTATGGAAAATCACCATTTTCAATGGGTAAATCCACTATTTCTATGGTCATGTTCAAGTTCGCAAACTGTTCAATTCCCAGAGAGTAATCACCATTAATTCACTATTAGCCATTAATAACCCCCATTAATCACCATTAATCACCATTAATCATCATATTTGACCCCACTGGTTTGGTCGCGTCCAGGCGCTGGAATCGTTCTTGCTGGGTGTGCCATCGCTGGATGCGGAGGGCGATGGGAACAGTTCCACCTCGTGGGCGCCACCGTTCCTCAGTGGATGGGATTAGTCACTAACCATAGCTATTGAACATGGCCATAGAAATAGTGGATTTTCCCATTAAAAATGGTGATTTTCCATAGTTATGTAAACGTTTACCAGAGGGTAACAGGCTGATGATGATGATGATGATGATGACGACCACGACCAGGACCGCGACCGCGACCGCGACCACAACCACCACGATCACGACCATTACCATTGCCATTACCATTATCATGATGGTCGTGATGATGATTACTATACAATACTCTATCATCATCAGTCAGTCATCAGATGTCATAAGTTTCATATCATGGCAACAATGATACTACTAACTACTAAGAACAACTATCAAAAAGTACCACCCATATCAAAAAGCATCATTTAAAGATATCTCCAGGTGTCCTTTCAGGCAACATTGGCCTCTCCTCCTCCGGTTGATGCAGCTGCCGCAGCAACGGCACGGCGCGCCGCGCCAACCCCACCGCCGTGGCCGGCGCCGTGGCCGGCGCCGTGGCCGGCGCCGTGGCCGGCGCAGCCGTGGCCAGCGCTGTGGAGACCACGGTGGAGCTGCGGCTCTTGGCCCAGGGCTGCAGGCTGCTCTTCCGGTCGGGGGAAGCCGCGGGCTCCAGGGATTGGAGAAAGTCGTGGAAAGCTTCCTGGGAGAATAACTGGAAGGGCTATAGCGGGTATATGCCATATGTTTTTGGGCTATCGGCCATATTGAAGTGGAGATGTTCTGTTTGGCTGGAAGTACTTTGCGATTGAAATCCCGAAAATTATGAGTGAAGTACTTCTTTTGGGGGGCAAGTTGGAAGAAGATTGGAGTTGCGGTTAAAAGAGTCTTGGACACCAAAACTTCTTGTATAACTCTTGTTTCTTGGAATGTATCCGAGGTGGAACAGAGAAGATCCTGGCAGGTCTGCAGGTCCAAGTATCTCTCAATAAAGGCGACCGCAGCAATTCGCGATTGGAAGGCCGGTTGTGTGGCTTTCGGGCCAGCAGATTCTGCAAGGATTCCGACAGCTCCTGGCTGTATCCGCTCGGCACTTCCACCGGTGGCGCGTGCAACACAGCACTGACCACAGCAGCGTAGGAGTCACAGCGTCCAGCAAAAGGAGGCTCCAAGGCCATCATTTCGTAGAGAACGCATCCCAACGCCCATTGATCGGTTTTGCCTCAGCCATCCCATTGCCCCCTTTTTTGAAGGTCTCAAGGTCTCAATTGAATAGGAATCCACTGTTTTTCAAGGCTTGAGGCTGTAATTTCCATCATGGTGAAAAAATTGGGGAGCCACCACAATTTCGGACCCGTCTCCAACTCGAGCGGATCCATTTCTATGGGACGGATCTCCACTTTTGCTGGATAACTTCAATGTTAAAAGATGTTTAAATCAAGAATCTCTAGAATGTCTTCGCTGCTTAAGAAAACCCGTTCTTGGTCGTCTACTTTTTTTGTTGTTGATTCTCTCTCCCAATCCATGGTTTTTTCACATGTGCTGCTCCCATCCCCTCTATCAATGTAGCTTCGATGCAACTCCCAGACAAGCTGCTTGCATCCACCATCAGTTCAAGATATGTCCATGGGAGCCATCGCTTAAAATGGGAAGACCCAAGGGGCCCAAGGGGCCACTATTCCATTTTGGTGGAGTCAATAATTTTGAAAACTTTGGGTCTGTGCAAAAAATGGGGTGTAATTAAGAACATTTTATCGCCATTTTGACTAAGAAAGGTACGTTCAAACTGTGGGGTACGTTATTTTGGATAAACCCGGATCAAAAATGCATCTGCTAGATGTCAATCCGGTCCCATGCAAACGATCCCATGAGCACCAAATGCCTTCATTGACACGTCATCTCCATGATATTTCTCATCTAACCCACACAGTACACTCTCATGTGAACCGCTACTGGGATAGATCCCATCCCTTTCCCCATTCCCATGGAGCATTCCAATCCAACCCAAGTAATCCAAGCTGCTGTTTACTATCAAACCATCCATCCTCTCATATTATCCAATCAGTTCCAATCAAGATGAACCAAATAATGTCCAGGTAGGATTGATAAACACCCCCTATTAGATGAGCCAGTTTTCCCAAATTCTTGGGCAACACTGAAATCAATTTGGTGGTTTTGCACCCCCCCGCCACGCAGAAAAAAGTGCGACCCTCCCAAATAGATAAGTCCCTCTCCAACCGCGCGATTTTGGTGGTACTCATTCAGGATTGTTGCTTTCACTTTTATTTGAGGCTACATTTTTTAGGGTTGATGACCTTTCCCTGGGTTCATACCCTCGTTGTTTCTTTTCATGCTTTTGTTTCTCATGCTCACCCTGATGACTCTAACCCTGAGGCTAGAACCCCCCTTCCCAATCTTGGTACTGATTCATATTTGCTGCGCCTCTTTAAAAAATCATTGCTATGGAAGCTCAGAAAGGGTACCCCCCATCATTGGTGTCCTCCCCAATTAGTAAGACCTATCTCCAAGACCTATCCCAGCCCCATAGGGTTGATTGTTTCTTATTGCCATATTCCTTTCTCTCGTCCGTCAGTGGTAGTCATCCAAGTCCAAGTCTAACAATGGTTTTTTATTCAAAAAAATACGTCTATCCTCTTATAGCAACTCAGGAATGCAATCTCAGACCCAACCCAAGTCTAAGTGGCTGTTAAATACCAACCCATCTCAGAATATTATGAATCAAACTTGGACAAAAAAGCTTTCTAATCCCTGAACCCCCATCCCCATCAATCCAAGTCCCAGTCCAAGGAATCCAAAGTTTTTCCATGAATATCAAACCATCCATCCTCATCATCCAATCATCCAATCAGATGAAGCTTTCATCCGGCCTTCTACAGCCGTCCAAGTGGCTGTTGTAAGGTCTCCCTTCCAACATCTCGGGGCTCATAAAGGCCGGCGTTCCAACGATGCTCCTCCGTAAGTCCTCGGTGTGTTCCACCTGTCCAGCCACACCGAAGTCTGCCAGCATGACACGCTTGCCTGGGGCATTTCGGTGGGCCCCGACTAGGGATGATATCATGGGAATATCATGATATCATGATATCAATGACTGTACTTTATATATATATATTTATATTTGTGGGATTTAAGATGATTTAGGTATCGAAAATAGAGATGGAAGCATCCAAAATTAGGATTTGCGCCAATTATGCGCCAATTTATGGAGATTTAACCACTTGAGAATGGCAATATATGGCAGTATGTAATGGGAATATCACCTACCAATCATGGATATTGGGTAGGCATTCAGACTACCAAAGGTGACCCACAAAAAAGATCAATAGGCATCAGCCAGCCCTTTTGGACGTGGTTGTTGGTAAAAAAAACCGATGAAAAAAAAAATGTTAGGTGGTAAGTGAGAAATGGACATCTAGTGCCTCTTAGTGGATGGATGTTTGTTTTTTTAATAATGTTATAGTAAATGGTTGAGAAATTGGTTTGCTGTTAGCTTCAGGATAAAGGTATCCAATGGTGGATCTCCTGGCCTCCCTGGGCTAGCAGCACATTCTGTGGCTTTAGATCTCGATGCAGAAACTTCCGACTGTGCAGATGTTGCAGTCCCCAAGCCAGTTGCGCCAACCACGAGAGAACCTGAGATACCCGGTCACCAACATGTCGCCTCAAAAAGGGAGCTATTGGAAATCATGTCAAACGATATCCAATAAGCACAACATATCAAAATATATTCAATCGTATTGTGGATACTATACGTGGATGCACTGGGTATGATGGCCATGCCTGGTAAACCCCCTGAGATTCTGCAATAAGTCGTCCTAAGTAGGTGGGGAACTGAAACCCTGACCTCACTTAGTCCCCGTCCGCGTCGTGTCACCTGCTGTTCCGCAATGTGAGGTCTGAAAAAGCCATCACTGGATGGGGAGCAGCCGCTGTGTTGCAGCTCCCACTCCAGACGCACTCGGAGGCACTCCTGGGTGGTACCATGGACCAAAATCAGGTCTTTGCTTCAGCCACTTTCCCAAAGTGGGATGGACCGATGGTGAAATCGCCAGTGTTAGTTTTCCAAATCCAACTTTCTGCTGGTGTCAAAATTCGGGTACCCCACCATTGGTTTGCCCGTTGAAAATCACGTACAATATCCTAAAGTAGCTTCTGTTTGATGATTTTGGGGTCCCTCAAATTACGAAACTCCCCTTGTTGTTTTCTGGATGCGTAGAAAACCACGCAACTTCTTTTTTCGTCCAGAGAAAAAAAGGTCGACACGTTACGTCAAGACGTCAAGAGTCCTGCCGGAGATCACGGTCGCAACGGCTCATGACCAAGCACAGGAGGTCTTCTGAAGGCAATGATGGCGTGGATCTCACCAGGAAACTCTCGAAGTATGGAACCTCAGCTGAGGATAGAATGGATCAGAGGGAGATTTCACAAAGGAAAAATCTATGAGGATCATCTGAGAGATACAGGGAGATATATCACTTAGATTCACTTAGTATTTAAAGGGTGGATTTGGAAGCAACAAAAAAGGGATACCCTCTGGTAGTCAAACGTGGCAATGGAAAAGGTTTTAATGGGAAAATCATCCACCGTGGGATTTTCCATTGCCACGAATACCGGAAGGTCGGCGCCAAAATGTGGACTTTTGATTGTTGGACATCTGTCTTAAGCTATCCTGGAGAAGGCAAACACATGAATGTACAGGGCTGTACACAAATCATATCATTTTCACAAGCCCAACCTCAAAGAACGACAACAACCCATCGGTTTGTTTTTCCTAAAAATCTTCCCAACTTCCATGTTCAATATCCTCCATCATTCTCCCATCTCAACCAAAGCACAATGCAGGGATGTTTCATGGAGGACAACAAACGCACCTCTTTGAGCGCGTTCTCTTGATCCGATTCTCCCAGCCATGGCAGTTGCTTCACCACCCGCAGCTGGCCCTCGGGATCCTTCACCTCGTAGACCCGGCTATTGCCTCACCGGGAACAACGGGGGTGAAGATATGGAGCTGGGAATGGTGGTGGTGGTCACCCTCTGGTAAACAAACAGGTTGCTATGGAAAATGACCATTATTAATGGGAAAACTCACTATAAATGACCATTTTCAATAGCTATGTTAAATTACCAGAGGGTATATGAAGTGGCGTGGGAACAAATGCCAAGTATGTGAAGTTTGTCATATTTTGTAATGTGGAATGATCATGCGAGCTGGAGAGTCGAGCATCAATTTTCCGGGACAAAGAAGTACTGAGGCACTGAGAATTGATTCTTGCGGGCAGTGAGGTTCCAATACAAATTTGGTCTAAACATGTCTAAACTACCAGCATGCATGGAAAGATTGGAGAAAACATGAGAAAACATCATCACTCCTGTTCTTGGTGGGATACACCATGATAAACCTTTGAATTTGCCAGTGATGAAGCCTTTTTATCCATGATGACATCCCCTATCAGGCGAAACCCCCATCGAATCCGCCAAGGTGCAGCCGCCGCCTTGACCGAGGACGCGCATCACGGAGTAGCCATGCTCCTCCATCTGCCACGGGGATCATCCCGGCACGATACAACGGCGTTGCGATGCGCACAGCCATCCCACGCCTTGAGCCATCCTGGACGCTACGGCACCAGGGGCTATGACATGGTTTGAATCCATGGCAAACTCTGCACTGTTCCTGCAACTCCATGGGTGGATTCCATTTCAACCCTAGCAATTGTGATTCTCCCATCTCTGCTGTATTTTCGTCTTTGGCGGATCATCCTCCCTACAATCCGTTGATTCAAATCTTCATTTCTGTTGGCTAAATCCATTTCTGAAAACTGTCAGGTGATCCATGAAAAACTGCTTGGTTAAGAGGTCGGTTGTCCGGTGTGAATTAATGGGTTATCACAATAATCCCCAACAAATTCGGCAATATGTATACAGTAAGCCCTCTATTATAAGCGATCAACAAGTTGTGTTTCATAGTTTTCCATAGTTTCCCATAATTTTGCATCGTTTTCCATAGTTTTCCATAGTTTCCCATGTTTTTCTCCATGTTTTTCTCCATATTTTTTTTCCATATCCTTCCAACAATTCTCCCACCTTTCCCTTCCCTTTCCCGCCGTTGGCCCAGTGACTGCGTGGTGTCCAGCACGCCACTGAGGCTCTTCGTAAGGCCCGGCTGACCCCGACCGAAGACCCCCAGGTCCGCCGCCTCATGGATGGTTTAACTCACTATTAGTGGGGCAATATATATATATAATGTATGTATATATATATATATACATATATATATAAATAGAGATATATATATAATTATAATAAATATATATATATAAATAGATAGTTGTTTCACAATAGTGGCTAATGATAGTGGTGTATTTAATGATTGGTTCCATCCGCTTACAATCACCATGTATTGTAGTGGTTTTAATAATCTATTGTATAACAATGAGCAAGAGTTATGTATTGGTTACTTTGTTCCCGGCTACTTCTTCAAGGGGAGTATCATGGAGTATCAACCCGGGCGTTCGGCGTTGCTCAAATAAAACCATTATGTGACAACATCCTCCAGATACTCTGAGCAGGAAGGCGACAGCAAATATGCACACAGTCGGCAACCAAATGATCGAACCAGTTGTGATTCCCATGGCTTTAACCAGTACTATATAATACCAGTAGTGCCGCACAAGGCGGTGGCGGAAGTTTCAAAAATAGGAAACCTATAGGAGACGTTGGTTGTTGCGAATCAGGGATGGCAGAGCGAAGCCACTGATTGACCGAAAGGTGGTTGGAGTTGTGTTTGCTGGAGTGGTTGCAATGGTTGCAGTGGTCACCTCTTCCTCACCTGCTGGATGTAGTGTGATGTACCCCAACTGTAGTTGTAGTTGTAGCGTAGTGGAGTTGTAGTTGCGGTGTAATGTAATTAGTGTAGTGTAGTTGCAGTCATATAGTTGTAGCTGTAGTTGTTTTGTAGTTGTAGTTGTAGTTGTAGTTGTTGTAGTTGTTGTTGTTGTTGTTGTTGTAGCTGTAGTTGTTGTGTGGTTGTAGTTGTTGTGTAGTGTAGTTGTAGTAGTTGTTGTTGTTGTAGTTGTTGTGTAGTTGTAGTTGTAGTTGTAGTTGTAGTTGTAGTTGTAGTTGTTGTTGTTGTTGTTGTTGTTGCTCTTGTTGTTGTTGTTGCTGTTGTTGTTGTTGTAGCTGTTGTAGTTGTAGTTCTAGTTGTAGTTGTAGTTGTTGTGTAGTTGTTGTAGTTGTAGTTGTTGTAGTAGTTGTAGTTGTAGTTGTTGTGGTTGGTGTTGTTGTTGTTGTTGCTGTTGCTGTTGCTGTTGCTGTTGTCGTCGAAGTTAGGGTAGTTAAGTTAGTGAAGTTAGTTAAGTTAGTCAAGTTAAGTTAATCAGTGTCTACTTTTTCGACATCTTCACGTCAAAAAAGGCTCAAAACCCTCAGTTTTTTTACACTTTTGACTTCGAAATGTGCTTCGCGCCACAACGGCGTGCACTTTTTCGACATTTTTTCGACATCTGAACCTCCAAAAGTGGTCCGAGACCGTCAGTTTTTAACACTTTTGACTTCGAAATGCGCTTCGCGCACAACGGCGTGCACTTTTTCGACATCTGAACTTCAAAAAGTGGTCCGAACCCTGGTGTTTTGTACATTTTGACTTGGAAATGTGCTTCGCGCCACAACGGCGTGCACTTTTTCGACATCTCAACTTCCAAAAGTGGTCCGAACCCTGGTGTTTTGTACATTTTGACTTGGAAATGTGCTTCGCGCCACAACGGCGTGCACTTTTTCGACATCTCAACTTCCAAAAGTGGTCCGAACCCCTCGTGTTTTGTACATTTTGACTTGGAAATGTGCTTCGCGCCACAACGGCGTGCAATTTTTCATCTCTCATCTGGCCAGCTGGCTCCGCACCCGCCGCTTTAGCGAGCCTACTTTTCGACCCTCCGGAGCCCCAAATCATTGGAAAAACACAGTGTTTCGCGACTTTCCTACCTTTTCACGCATCTGCATCTTCTTTCTTCTTACTCTTTCTCTTCTGACTCTTCTCACCTCTGCTTTTCAACTGTCCATATTGTCGGAAGTTTCACTTCTAAACTTCCTTCGACTATATATTCATGTTGTAATCCAAGAATATTTCCAGTTTATATCAATACACCATCAACTTTGCTCAAAATTCGTCAAGATGACATGCTGCATCCCCAGTTTATCACTGTGATGAAATGCAACCCCTTGAAGAAAAAACAAAAAAACAACAATAAATCATCCCCAAGTCATCACTCTAAATGGGTGATATATGGTGGTATAAACCCTCTAAAAAAATGGGAGCTTTGGGTTTCACCCAAGACCCGCCTCTGGGCCACTGCGTGTGTTGCGGCGTTCACGACCTCTTCGTGCGTCGGCCTCAGGCGATCCAACAAACAGTTCCCAACAAAGATTTAAGATCATTTACCCTCTGGTGATTAATGGTGATTAATGGTGATTAATGGTGATTAATGGTGGTTAATGGGGGTTATTAATGGCTAATAGTGAATTAATGGTGATTACCCTCTGGTAAACTAACATTGCTATTGAAAATTGTACAGAAAATAGATGATGTACCTATTCAAACTGGTGATTTTCCATAGTTATGTTAGTTTGCCAGAGGGTAATGCCTGGAAATGTAAGGCTGTCCATATTTATCCATATTTTCCTGAATGAATCCACACTAAAGCTTGCAAAGGTTGCCTGTTTGTCTCTAGTCCCCCACTCAATCTTCGATCTCACGATACGGAATGATAAGGATATGCATTTATCGCTAGATTGGACAGCTTCTCACCACCCTTCAACGGATGCTAATCTTGAAAATTACCTGGAAAACCTGGTGCCCCTTGTTTTGGGCACTTTCCAAAGTGCCCGGAGTTTTGGTCACTGGAAAGGGTAGCAGTTTAGGAGTAGGTATTTATGGCACTTTATGGGTCTTTTCATGGTATTTTTTGGCGTTGTTGCCGAACATGTTGCACCAAAAATGAAGTGTGACAGTGTGACACAAAAATTGGCTACTAGGTGAAAGTAGCCCTTTTTCAATAGGCAACTAGGGCTTTCCAGGTAGTACATGTACTAAACTTCAATTTATATCAATCCCACATTTGAGAGATGTCAGACTGCCATTCTCCAGATTTCAGACCAAAGTCGACCATGGAGGGCCATACATAGAATTTTGATGGTCAAACCACCATTTCTGATGGTAAACCCGCATCATCTCAGATACTTACCAATTGATCTCCCCATATTTTGCTGATTTTAAAATGTGTGCATACATCTTTGAAGTAAATCCACAATCATAAAATTTAAATCATATTGGTTACACATATATATAATATATAATTTAATATACACACATATAGAAATCCCAATACTCATGAAATATCCCAACTATCTATCTCCCACAAATATCTCAAGATTTCATCATTCCATTAGTAACTAGCTCACGGGTCCATGAGTCGCCTGGTTACGAAACCATCATTTAGGTATTTTGCCCATTGGAAATCAGACGTCAGGCAAAGGTGGCAAGTTTTCACCATCCTGAAAACTAACGCCGCTACATTTTTTTTCCTTGCAACTTTGCCAGTTGTTTTAAGAACTGTGCTGGGCTCGGCCATTTCAGCGAATTGCGCCAGCAAAACTGAAAGACACGCTGTCTCATCCGAGGGTTGACTTGGCTGCCATGTGGGCCATTGATCTTTCGGTGGTAGTTGCTTGGCAAAAGTCTTTCAATGCCTTCCACTTTCTGTCAATGACTTGTGTTCCAGCTTTCTTGGAAAGCACGCCGTGTTGCGTAAAGATGATGCGGCAGCCTGCAAGCGTAACATAAAAATAGGTAACAAAAAAAAAGTCCAAGCGAACGCAGCAAAAGGAACGTTATTACGCCCACCCCCCCCAACCCCACCCACCCCCCCCCCCCCCCCAACCCCCCCAACCCCACCCCCCCAACCCCCCCCAGCAACAGCGTAGCACGACGTGTTGCGTAAAGATGATGCAGCAGCGTGCAAGCGTAGCATGACGTCTTGCGTGCAAGATGATGCGGCAGCGTGCAAGCGTAACATAACACTTGCGACCAAAAGCGTAGCACGACGTGTTGCGTAAAGATGATGCAGCAGCGTGCAAGCGTAACATAACACTTGCGACCAAAAGCGTAGCACGACGTGTTGCGTACAGATGATGCAGCAGCGTGCAAGCGTAGCATGACGTCTTGCGTGCAAGATGATGCGGCCGCCTGCAAGCGTAACATAAAAATAGGTAACAAAAAAAAAGTCCAAGCGAACGCAGCAAAAGGAACGGTATTACGCCCCCCCCCCCCCCCCCCCCCCCAAAACAAAGAAAAAGGCCAGGCGACCTGTGGACCCGCCAGCAACTATCATCATATACTATTAAACAGATCATGAACTATCATAACTCTCATATCATCTCATATAATTTTTACATATCCCAACTGTATTCCATAACTACTCCTAGATCTTGATGGTTTTATGCCGGCCCAACAGTATGCGGAAAAAAAAGACATCGGATGCTAAAAACAAATATTAGTTTGCTTTAACTTTATTATACTTTAATACTAAAAACGTTTCCAAACTCTCCAAAGATGTCACCGTCACCCATCCCATCCATCCCCGGGACCCATCCCAGGGCTCCCAGGGCTCCCAGGGCTCCCAGGGCTCCCAGGGCTCCCGGCTAGCGCCCCCCCCGCCGACCCGGAGCCCCCGTGGATGACCACGCGCGCCGCCGCGCCGCGCGGCTCCACCCGGGCCGAGGCCCAGGTGCCGCCCACGACTTTGGACCCCAGACCAGCCTGGGGCGATTTTGGGCTGGTAAAAATGATGGAAAAATGATGAAAACGTGGGGATTTTATGATATTTTATGATATTTTATGGCTCATGATTAGGGATTTTACATGATTTTACACTGCCCAAATCTGTGATGAAATAGCATCCCCGGGCTCCATC